TGTGTGTGTGTGTGTGTGTGTGTGTGTGTGTGTGTGTGTGTGTGTGTAAAACATCTAAATTGGGTCTTTTCTCTTTGACCAATTTTTTTTTCTTAGAGATGACTCTGATGGATAAGTGCGTGCACTGGAAACTGTCTACCCCTTTGATACCTCTGACAACGACCCATACTCAAATCATGACATTCATATACATTGGCGACTGCGTTGTATGATGTGGAAAAATTGCTTGAACCAATCAAATATGGAGCAGAGATATCAAAGGGTTCTTCCAACTATTCCGTAGGATGGTGACGCCCGCCGCACATGCCGCAGGAAACTGCACACCAATGTACAGCTTTAAGAGGAGGATATATCCACAAGCAAGGGACGATGATTGACAACAAGGCCAAACCGCACCATCTTCGTCCCCATCCTTCTTCTGTACTACAACTGATTTGACATTTTGTAATTTACTCGAATGTTGCACAATACTAATCAACTAAATCTTTAAGAGATTGCATATATCGTAAAAAAGTATTTAATAACGATAGATACTAATATATAGTTTAAAAAGTAGCACACATCCAAAGATATTCCTTAAAAAAACTGATCTTACATTTTTTATACAATCTTTGCAAGAAATTTAAAATGCAATAAATTCCTAAAAAATCCAAATTTTTGTAATACAAAACAATGCAAAAAAAGTAGTTAGAAAATAATAATACAAATAATATAAATACAAATGTATATTAGTTAAATATATAAAATAAATAATACAATAATAAAGTTAAAAAGATACAAATCGTCTGACTGTAATTGTCTGAAATATTCTACTTACCTACAAGGATTTTGTGCAAAATCACCTTCGGCGTCACTCATGCAGTGATATAACATACATTGGGCACATGACAAACAAGAGACTGTTGCAATTCCACGCCTAATTGGATCGGGAGCATACTCGCAGGAACCTTTTGGATTATGTTGCTCCGAATACAGTTCTTGACAATGCTTGCAACGTAAACGTACATTACGTTTCATAGTATTCTTCGAAGGTTGCGATATTATTGTGTCTGGTTTCTTCAAAGAGCTTCCGCTATTAGAAGTATTATGTCCGTCTAATCTCTCACCCTTATGATCGTCAATAATAGGATACAGATATTCATGATTAAGTGTTGTAAGCTGCACATAGGGATAATTATCTGATCCAATGTCTGTGGCAGAAGCCAGAGGATGTTGCGTCGGTGGAGCTTTAATGGTGGAAGAACCACCGATGTAATGGATAGATCGGTGAGAGTCAGGAAGCTCCGAATATTGAGAATAATTCGGCACTCGAAATCCATGAGGTGTATCCGAAGACGCACGTGGCTCAGGTGGTTCCACTGGCAAATTCAAAGTCTGTAAATTTTGATAATTTTAATAAATTAGTAGATATGACTAAATTATAACGCACGCTTCGCGCGCGCTTTGTGATGTTTTTTATTTGTTATTATCTATGCAAAAAACGGTAAATGTTCAGTATAACGCTCTCCCCTCCAATTTTCTTGAAATTTTGTAAAATAGTTTATTTTTGTGTGTAAAATACATTCTTCTCAGGAAATTTCAAGAAAATCGGAGGGGAGAGCGTTATACTGAACATAGCCTGATCTACAATGTGCTCTTTGCTTCCCGTTTTTTGCTCTTAACCTGTTTGCGACTATCCCGTATTTCGCAATTGCGTCGCGTAACGCGATGTTTTTTGTTCTCTGTCGCCCAAGATAAAAATTGACGAACTTCAGAAGAGACAAGAAACATCACGTTTCGCGACGGAATTGCGAAATACGAGATAGTCGCAAAGAGGTTAAGAGCAAAAAACAGAAAGCAAAGAGCACATTGTAGATCAGCCTTACCTAAAAAACATTTGTACACTCGATCAATCGACTAAATTGAAACGACCAATCACGTTCGCAATAACACGGCAACAATTGCAAACGCGACCAACTTCAGGGTTTTATACCGCTTTTATGGGGACGGCGAGATGAGAAGCTCAGCGCAGAGGGCAGCACCGAAAATGGAGACGTGTCATAATGTTTACGTTTAATGAGTAGAGAGGTTTGGAGAATTATTTTTTAACATGCCGGGAATGTGTGTGTGGCATATGGATGTAAAAATAAGGGAGGGAATCGGTTCCCGAGGGACAAGATATGATGAAAAAAACGATAGATCACCGCATATAAAACGCGAGGATTTATGTCCGAATACAAATTCGCTGTGCACAAACCACTTTAGACCTGAGGATTATATTACCACCGGCTTTGAAAGTAGTGAGTTTACAATGAAATTAATAGACATATAATGAAACATATGTTTAGTCGCGAATTTGTATTCGGACATAAATCCTCGCGTTTTATAGCAGCGATGATCCACCGTTTTTTCATCATCTTGTCCCTCGGGAACCAATGCTCTCCCTTATTTTTACATCTATATGCCACACACATTCCCGGCATGTTAAAAAATTCCGAAATATTTACGTTTATGTACACAAATTTTCTCGTTAACGATATGCTCGGTACTCGCGGTGACAGCTCGGTGCGTCTCCAATTTTGCTAGCGCCCCTAGCGGCTAAGAGTGGCACGCGCCGTCCCAATAAGAGGACCTTTTTTTAGATAAGAAACTGTTGCTTTATCTTTCCTTTTGATTTATTTCGCTATAAGTTCTCTCCTTTATCATATAATTAATGTCTTCTCGATTAAAATTAATAGATTATAGAAAAAATAAATTTTTTTACCATGAAAACATCTTCATCCCCAGCGTCTGGAACATCGGTAGTCAACGTTAAATCAGACAAACCTATCGCATTAAAACATAAAATTTCTCAATAAGATCGTATCAAAAAGCAAAAAACGATAAAACATGAATTTAAAGCTGTTGAGCTTACCATTTACGTAATCCGTAATAAATTGCAGCAAAATGATTAGTGCGAACGAGTTAATAAGATATCATAAAAAATCCTTGTAATATTTATTTAAGAGTTACTCTGTGACAATATAGATGACTTTGACGTAACATTTTAATATCGTGCAATTCACATTTTATTAATACTCAAATATAATGGGTAAAAGTAGATAGAACGTCCACGTAATCACAAAGAAAAAAAAATGCTAAAAAATGTCATCCACTCTGTTGCAAAAAAATCCCAATGTACACTATATATGTATAAGTGTTTATTCGTTAAGGAGGTTGGCGCGTTTGATAAAATATAAGACAAGTCTATAATACATGTCTATAATACATATATAATACATAATATGAAAGTTAATTATATCAACAACATGTAGAAAAAATTTTATTGACTTTCACCATTTCTGAGATATTTGCTTTAGAAGTTACAGAAATGGTATATATATAGATATACTGCCCATGTAAATATCATATTATGTATCTCTGCTTCCGTACAGTAAAAGTGAATGAAATTTTTATGGTACACAAAATTACACTATATATAGTTAGCGCGTCAACCTTCTTACGAAGGTTAGCGCGTTTGATGAAATATAATAAGACACAAGTCTATAATACACATAACACGAAAGTTAATTATATCAACAATATGTAAAAAAAATTTCATTTACTTTTACCGTTTTGAAGATATTTAATTCTAAATGTATAAAATTTTACATTACAAATGTATGCAAAACCTTATCTATGGTATTTTCTCTTAATTTGAGACATTTGGATATAAGACAGAAATTTAAAAAATCGTTATAACTACCTAGATAGCAAAGCGTGTCTGAGCAAAATAGCGCAAACCTGTGATTGCTTATGATGCTGGCAACTTGCCGTACATTTGCTTCAATTGATTTCGAGTAATTTAATATTTGAAGCAACACGCAGGAAACATTGGATGTATTGCCAGCAATTTGTCGGTAAGAGAGCAGCATCAAATTTACTTCGCGTTGATAATAATGCATTGTGTGATCCTATGAATTATTACAGCAACATGACAGCAACCTAGATAGCACGCATGTCTACAAGATGTCTAAAAGATGTCTTTACGACGTCTTTTAGACATACTTGCTGTCTGGGAACAGCTCGAATTTTAAATCAACGATTTTAGACCGCAGCATAAGTTGCCAAGCACAAGTTGCTGGGAAGTTGCTGTACAAAATTGTTATATCATGAAGGCATCAACTTGCCGACAAATGCGGACTCAGTTGCCACAATTCTGATAGCAACACACTCTATATTGTCGGCAATATACCAGCAATAATGCAGACACGTTGCTATCTGAGAATGCGGGACACGTTGCTGTCTGACAATATGAGTACAAAGTAAACATTTAAGTTCGTTGTGGCAAAGTTTTATCTAAATTGACCGTACAGTTTGAAAGAAATTTATATTTTTCAATAAAAAAAAGCAAGAATATTTGACAAATGGATGACGCATATAAGGTGCAACGTAACATATGTATGGCGGCTGCGGTCCGACTCACGTTCACAGCGTTGAAAGTATCGTTCTATCTTTGTTTGATATTCGATGTGCAACGAAGACAGAATAATGCTTACAGCGTTTGAGTGTGGATCGGACCGTAGCCTATGACTGTCACTTGCTGTCAGTTATCGCAATCAAATGAGCGTCTTATAATTTTCATTTTGTCATTTTTACATATAAAACTATTATGTATAATGACATTAGCGAATTAGATATTGTTCATGTTTTAATATATTATTATTTTAATCAATTTTAAGAATAAACTGTTTATTGACTAGGAAGTAGCGCGACAACCTCCTTAACTATATATATTTTTGCAATTGAAACAAGTACCTATATTGAGACTTCGCAAACAAAAAAAAAGAATAAAGTACAGAAAGAACAAACTAAACAGATCAAATTGTATACTGTAACTTGGAAATTTATGATACATTATAAATGCAATTTTTTAATATTAACAATTATTCTGAATAATAATCTCTTAAAATTAATCTTGTTTAGGAAAATTCTGTGTACCTTCCAATAGTTCCTCAACTGCTGTTCGAACACCTTTGTCAAACGCCCTTGCGTCGGCAGCTGTTTGAAACGTTAAACCAAACTTCTTTTCCCCTGTCCGCCAGTGATGAAAAGTTGGCATTACCTTATTATATTCGAAATCTTTTTTAATTGTACAACTAAGAACAACCTGAAAAAAAAAAGATTTATTTTTATACAAGTCATGTACAATACCATATACATTCATGTTATATTTTACAACACAAACTACGATTTAAACTGTACTAAAACAGCTTTTGTTTATATATCTTCTTTAAATAATAAAATATTTATAAAATATAGCAAGACCTACCGACTGATCGGTAATACGTTTCCCATAAATAAGATATTCATGTTTTCTTTTATTCGCGCCAGGCGGGGAGATATTGGAAGATCCATGGTTCTGAAGACCGACCGCTGCATTGGAGACGGAATTCGTAGGATTAGTCGTGGTAGGAATAGTGGTTCCATTAGTATTGTTTATTTGATGTACTCCTGAGGGAGTGACTCTACGCCTGACTGAGACATTCGCTAATCCACCACCGCTCAAAGGAACCCAACCACCGGAACTGTCATCTCTCGTCATTACCTGGGCATGGACCCTTACCAGATAGTTACCACTGCAAAGAACAAATATGACAGTTATTATATCATGTATCACTCATATACGCATGTCTATCAAAGTAAAATAATAGACACATACAACATGTCTAATTCCAATAGTAATACAGTAGGTGTGTGTGAAGCTGGCGTCTCATTTTGCAGAAACTCACAAACTATTGAAAGTTCTGGCTTCCTTTTCAATAGTTCTATATCCCTGACGAAAACTAAGAAGCTTTATAAAGCGTTGACAACCGTTCAATGAGGGTTTTTTGAGAGTTTATACGCTTTCAAACTTTATAAGAACACTTACACAACGTCGTTGGATTTTGAACGCTTCCAGAACGCTTATAAAACGCTGTATATAACGTTTCATGAAAGTTCTGAAATGCTGAGGCAACGCTTTTCAGAGAACGCTCAGTATACGCTGCGTGCAGTAAGTTTGCTGTCAGATTTTTCAAACGTTCAGCAAACGCTTTTCCCAACGTCGTAAGACAAGCGTTTTCAATCCGTTCAGCAAACGCTCTTCCGATGGCGAATTGTATAGGCGCAGTAAACGATTTGTAAGGCGTTAACGCAAACGGCTTGAAGACGCCCAAGAAACGCTTTTCCCGACTCCGTAACACAAGCATTTTCCTTCCGTTCAGCAAACGTTCTTCTAACAATGCCGCTAGGCGGCGCATCTTTCTCGCATTTAAAATACATCCAGCCGCGTATATAAGCAGACCCCCTGCGAGGTAAAAAGCAGATTTTAACATTTAACGCTCTTTACGCCGTTTCTTCTAACGACAAGAGTAAAGCGGGGAGCACACACTTCTGCACAACGCATAATGCGTAAGCATAAAAAAATTGATTGGTTTATTTCTTTATGCACATGTGTATGGACCAATCAATTTTCTTATGATTACGCATTATGCGTTGTGCAGAAGTGTGTGTCCGGGCCCTAAAGGTCTATCCAGACAACTTGCATAGGTGCATAACCATACGCATAAAGAAACGGATTGGTCTATTTCCTTATGCACATGCATATGGACCAATCAAATCTCTTATGCTTATGTTTATGCGCTATGCAAGTTTGTCTGGATTGACCTTAAACGCCCATTAAACGCTCAATAGAAGCTGCACGCAGTTTCCAATGATGAAAGCAAACGCTTTCAACTTATTATAAACGCTTAACAGAGGACCTCTAAATGTTTTAAAGAACTCTCAGCAAACATCATACGTCATGTAAACGCTGTGCAAACTCTCAAAAACGTTATATACAAACGCCTTTCAAATGCTGCAGCGTTGCAATTTCCGCTCTATACGAACTCTCTACTGACCGTTTCTAAACTCTTAACGAACTTCCGCAAACGCTCACGTAAAAATCAAACAAACGTTTATGAAACTTCTCATTTTCGCCGGGGTAGAGTTCCTGATAGTTTAAACAAATAGTTCTGGCCATTAAAGCCAAAAAATGCGTTAGTGCAAACTGAGACACCAGGTTCACGCAGCGTTTCACTTTGTCCTGCGAAAGTTTCCGGTACGGTATTTGTCAGATTTTAAAAGATCTATAGTTTTACATGAGTTCTAGGAAGAGTTCTGGCGATAAACATTGTTTTTTTATTTTTAAATAATTTTTATCGCCGAGAAACCTGCATTTACGGGTATATGGGTAAGACACTGGCCGATTTTCGATAGTTTTGTAAGTTCCATTATAATTCTCGTGTAGTTCTGTATGTGTTTTAACGTTTTCTAAAAAGTTCTGACAATAAGCATTATTTATTTTTGCTTCCTCATAGAGGAAGCTTTGTTTTCGTGAAAAAAATGTTTTTAAGTATTTTTGGCAAAGTGTTTAGAATGTTCTAAAACGTCGAAAAATCACTTTTGTACAAAATGTCCGTGTGTATGTATGTATGTGTGTGTGTATGTATGTTTTTGTTGTCCGTATATGCTCTAACTTCTGTAATTTTTGAGATATCGGGATGTTTTTTTTTTAATCGATAGAGTACCTATCATTCAAGGAAGGTTGGTATTGAATTTGGCGATTATCGGAAAAGGGGTTCTTTTTAAAAAAAATTTTGAATTTTTTTAGAAATGTCCGTGGTTGCTCTAACTTCCGCAAATTTGGAGATATCGATTTATTTCTAATTTTATTATATTTTTCAATCTTTTCTACCCTTATTTCATATATAATTTTTTAAGATTTGGTTGATTAGATCCAGCTTTATACGCGATCAAAGGTCCATAATTTTGCTCGCATATAAAGCTAAGTCTAATCAACCGAATTTAAAAGAATTATATATGAAATAGGGGTAGAAAAGACCAAAGTAAAAATTGTTTTTTGAGTTTTCAATGCTAATGTGTTGCTTATGTTCGAAAACGTTGAAAAATCGTAGAGTATCATTAAAGATAGGTTGGTGTTGAACCTCAAACTTGAAATCAACCAAATCTTAACGAATTATATATGAAATATTAAAGAATTATATATGAAATAGGGGTAAAAAAAACTGAAGAATATAATAAAATTAATAAAAATTCCTAATAATGAAGGGGTTACCAATTTTTATCTAAAAAAACAGCAAAATTTACCAAAATTTCTATAACTCAAGAACTGATTAACCAAATTTTAACGAATTATATATGAAATAGGGGTAGAAATAATTGAAGAATATAATAGAATTAATGAAAATTGCTAATTATGAAGGGGTTACCGATTTTTATCTAAAAAAATATATATGATTGCCCTAATTTCCGCAAATTTTGAGACAATGAGCTTAATTTTTTTTTAGATAAAAATCGGTAACCCTTTCATAATTAGCAATTTTTATTAATAAGTCAAGAACAAATTTTTAATTTTTCGGGAAATAATATGTAATTTTTTACGGTCACTTATCGGAAAAACGGAAATGATTCAATAGTATGAAACTCGAGTAGAAAAACATTTTAATTTTTCGGGAAATAATACGTAATTTTTTACGGTTATTTATCGGAAAAACGGAAATGATTCAATTAGGCTACTTCTAATTTTATTATATTCTTCAGTCTTTTCTACCTTTATTTCATATATAATACTTTAAGATTAGGTTGAATTACCGATTTCTGTTTAAAGAGTGTATAAGATGTACATGTAATTTTATATAGAGTATCATTAAAATAAAGTTGTTTTGAATTTTGCAAGGGTTGGTAAAAGGGTTATCGATTTTTGCTTAAAAAATGTTAACACATAAGATTGATTATAAAATGATATAATAAATCGATGTTCGTGGGAAAAAGGTCAATCAATATCAATATCAATCGAAAATAAATGTATCGAAACGTTGAAGTCGTTATAGCGCGATGCTAATTGTTTTTCTTTATACTTTTTTATTTTTTTTTAACTCCGCCTTGAACGGTCCCAAGCCCGGCCTGTTGTTTAAAAACATACAAACAGCTATATTTTAAAGAATTATAATTTAATTAAAAGTTTAAAGCAATTAAATTTTCAGAAAAGTATTTTCTTTTATAAAACCATAATTAAAATTTACAAAATCCATTCACCGATCATTGCCAAATTCAACACCAATCTATCTTTAATGATACTTTATCTATAAAAAAAAGTGTGCAAGTAGAAACTTGCTTCCTCATAGTTTTTAAGTGTGCAAGTATTTAAATAATTTTTATTCTGTTTAGAAGAGAATTCTCTTTAGAACTCTTTAGAAAATGTTAGAACACGTTCAGAACTACACGAGAATTATAATCAAGAGACAGGCGCGAGACGGTGGTGTCTCGCGCCAAGTACATGCGAAGCGAAACCGCACCGTGACTCTTTTACGCGACGCGGACGAGTTGCAAGTAAGATAAATGTCTTAGTGCGGGACACGTACCAGTGTCCGACCACATTGAAGAAAAATATTTACTATTTATTTGAACAATTAAAAATAAAAATAAGCTTTTCCCAATTAATCGTTAAATATTAAAGTTAAAATTTAAAAATTTAAAAATAAAATTTAAAAACTATTTAATTTAGAAATTACATCAACTGACCAAAACCATGGTCAAAATTAATAATGTCTCGATGATTGATCCGAAAAAGTGCTGTGTGAATCCGACAAACCAAGTTGGCTCACAGTTTTTCAATGTTCATATCGAAAAGACGTTATATATTGCCAGTCACGGTCGATTTAAATTACTTTAATTATTAAAGTTTTTTTTTACAATAATTATTATTTTTATTTTTAATTGTTCAAATAAATACTAAATATTTTTCTCCAATGTGGTCGGACACTGATACGTGTCCGGCCACTAGGACGTTTACCTTACCCGAGATTTTGAGATCTCGATAATGACTGAACGGATCGAGTTCTGAGTAGGCTCAATCGATAGCTTGGAGTCGATTTATATAATAAGTGTTTTTGTTTTTTTTCTACGTGCCCTACGAGCGGAGATATGATGCAATGATCCAAAATGTAAATATTTCGATTAAGGGGATCCTGCAGTGACTGGCGAACTTCCTCGATGTCGATAATGTCAACCTTTCTAATTTTGTTTTCCCTATATCTGTCTTTGTCTAACGAAATAATATCTGTCCTTTTTTCGATTGCTCGCCATCTCTTGCAAGATCCGGCAACTACTGTTGCTGCTCTTCTTGTTATTCTGCATCCGTATTTGCATTACTAAAATAATTTTTCGATGGATCTTTTTTTGTACGCATTGAATCTTACTTTTACTTGCACGATATTATTCCTACATGTTTTCCCAAGGACAGATGATAAACATTATGTATGTATAAACTGCAGAATTTTTGTTTTAAGTAAATATTGTCGTCAGGTGACAGCTGGTATGTGCCCAAATAAGTAACATTTTTAATTTTTTGGTGTTTTTGATATAAAATCGCGTTTTCTACCCTAGATTTTTGTGCGTACTTTAATTCTAGACCAAAAACTAGCAATTCTGTAAAGCCAATTAAAAGATCCATCGAAAAACGATAATGTCGGTAAATCATACGGCTGCAGGATCCCCTTAAGATACGTTGTTATTATCGTCGTCGCCGTCTCTTTCACTTTTTCGACACTATGCGGCGCTAATATCGCTTTCGATGATAAACCATGCGCGCGTTATTATCGATCCAGCAGGTAAATCAGATCGATATGTATGAGTTATGACTTATTATCGGCCAGGACCCCTATTCTGTAACTTGTAACGACAGTGTCGGTATCGTTACGTTGTCGTTGCGCAGGTATACTATATGGAAAAAAAGCTGCGCAACGACGACATAACGATACCGACACTGTCGTTAGAGTTACAGAATAGGGGTCCAGGGGTCCTATTCTCGAATCGTTTTCATGAAACTCGCATGCGAAATTCAATACTTTTCAAATAGAAAGTCGCATATGAAAATCATTAGGGCAGGCTTGAGAATACGGTCCCAGGATAGAAAGATCAAGACATCAAGAGACACGGTAGTGTCTCACGCCAAGTACACGCGAGATCGTGTATCTTTACGCGACGCGACGAGTTGCGAGTACCTGAGATTTTGAAATCTCGATATAATCGTTAGTACTGGTCTACAACCTTGCTTTAAAAGGTATTTAAGCTCTAAGCTGTAAAAAACTGACTAATCACAGTGGAATGTGAGAAATATACTCGACTGTGATTGGTCAATTTCTTACGGCTTAGACCTTAAATACCCTTTAAAACAAGGTTGTAGACCAGCACTTACGTGGCTGGATCGGCTTTAGCATATACATACGTG